AGGCTAGAGGGCACTGAGCCAGATGTAATGGAGAGTCAGTTCCTCTTAGAAAACATATTACTGCAACATTTTAATTCTGGTCTTACTTGCAAGGAACTGCTGACGCTAGCCCTGATCAAACACAGATTTAGGTGCACCTGAACCCATTTAAATCAACTAACCTTGGGCTGAATTCTGAAGATCAGAATCTCCTTGGGGTATTATCTTCATAGCTACAAGCCCCTGAAGAGAATCTGAATTGAAATGATATAAAAATGTGTGGTTCTTCTTTTTTCTTTGGAAAAAAGGGATTCAAGTTTAGCTATAAAGGATTAGATCCAATCTAAAATAATTTAAGGAGACACATTCCTATCAATGGGGCTTCGGTTCCATCTTGACTAACTGATCTCTCATTGAACTCAGTGAGTAATGATTAAGAGTAGATTTAACCCAGTGATCTGGAAGTATGAAAGAGGGAGGAAGAAGATTTGTTATAGGAATGATATTAACCAAAGCTGTGATATAATAAGGGGGAAATTCTCCAAAATGAGCACATGTGAGTTTTAAAATGTCAAATTAAAACAATAATTGTAAAAGTTATGCAAGGAGCATCACTGGATCTGGCCTGAACCCCTCTTTCAGTCACAGTGGAACAACTGTGTTTAGGTTCCTTGATTCCATTTCAAGAAGACTGCAGTCCCATTGCCTTGGGAATAAACCTCACTGAATTCAGTTTGACTCGGTCTGAAAAGGAACATACAGGACTGCACTGTGTCAAAACCGATCTGTCCTACATCTCTCCCTGCCAATGTAAGGTTAGAATCAAATTAATGTTTTTCAGGAAATAAGCTGGATTTAATTGAGGCTCATTTTTGAGTAGGCGTGTAGAGGATCAGCTTTTTCAACTGAGGCCATTTTTACTTTTAGCATGTAGGGGGGAAATGAATAAAATAGAAACCAATGCTCTTTTGGGAAGTATGGGTGTGGGGGCCTTTCTACTTGGCTCTGTGGGTTTTAATTTGGGCCCCATCAAATCAGAATTAGAGTGTAGCTCTCAAAATCTTTCCTAGATTTGGGCTGTAAAGATTCTCTACCTCTGATGTAAACATAGTCAAGTAAACCATAGGGAAATTCAGATATCTTGATGTAAGTTTATTAAGTTATATTTAATACAAAACCATCCTTTTAGGCCTGAATAGACAGAGTATATGCTGGGGAGAAGAGATGGGAAATTGTACATTGGGTGAAGTACAGGGGTATCTGGAGGGTGGGGGCCAAAAAGGCAAGATGGCAGTTGCAACCATGTGATTGAAGCAATCATCTTTTCCCCTTTTTCATATTACTGTATTTAAGAGATATTTAACTGTTAACAAAAAAGAGGAAGGAAGGAAGGAAGGAAGGAAGGAAG